TTCGACAATAAAATGGAGGAGACAGTTTGAAGAGGAAACGAAGGATTATCGACAGTCGTGGAGCAAGCTAAATAGGATCACAGAGAATAGGGGGAATTAATCATGTGCTACTGAAGTCATATGTTCCACTTGGTACCTAAGGGAATAATAATTACCATAACAATAATTTTTAAACTAACAATTTGTAGGGCTATACATGACAAACATAGAATTTACGTATTAGATTAGTTAGTCTGGAAAAAGTGTGCGTTGGTGGCACAGCGGTAGAGTGGTCGCCGATCACAGATATGGTCTGGGGTTCGACCCCCAGCCACAGGCGTACTCCTTTACCTCGCTAAGCCAGTAATGAGACTAGTAAAGATGGAAGGTTGGGCATGAGGCTGACAACTCCATTCGAAAAATTAATGCCACTGCTACGGAAACTTCAAGCCTGTAGCTTGAAGCCCTAGGTTCCACTCGGAACGTAAAAGAGTAACAATAGTATGGGAAAAATACATAAAATGCTATGGACTGATTTTACTTATCTGTGAAAACTTGGAAAACTGGCCAGTACCAATTTTCTTGTTATATGTTAATAGTAATAATAAAAATAAAATCAAAATAAGGAAGTCAGTCGAAAATAAAATTGCAACAGCATACTCCATCATCCACTACAGCATAGAATGCCATCGGACTCTATACCTCAACTTCGTCGACTTTGGGGAAGTCTTTGACTACACCAATCATGAAGTAATTTGGCAGTTTTACTTCAGCACTTATAAACCTAATCTAGTAGCTATATCACTATGCCAAATGACAAGTAATTCATGACCGAAAGCTCACTGAAGACTTTGAATTGGTGGCTAGGTTAAGACTAGGATGCCTACTATTGTGGACAGTAATTTAAGTCAATGTTTATGTCCCCAATATTGGTCGTGAGAAAAAAGAGAAGAAAGGCGTTGCGTAGGCGGATGTAGTTAGCAGATAGATGATCTGACATTCAAGAAACAGTTACAAAGAGATGCAAGGTTAACTTTCTGTGAGAAACAACCAACCAGAAGACTGTGTTTGTTTGATTAAATAATCTATGATAATGTGCATGAAAATATATAAATACGTATTGATTTCCTTAATAAACGATCTGTTGCCTGGCCCTTGTCTTCTGTTGTTACACTATCACTCACGACTAAGCTGAACTGAATCATGTGACATACCTAGGAAAGTGAAAAGATGTATATACGTTAGGCTCAAAAAAGGACTTTAGAAGATCTTAATTTCGTGGTTGGTTTGTTTTGCATTCCTTACAAACTGGAATATTTACAAGCAAAAACCGTCAAGTTGACCGTGGAGGTGGTGGAGCCAGTGCTTTAGGTGAATACAGACAATGCAGATGTGTAGAAGGTGCCTGGTTAACAACAGCAAAAAAGCATCACCATCAAGTAGAGGAATCTAAAGGAATTCGTTTCGTTCACTCACACGACCGATGCATTATCGTTTCAACTACAAACAGTATGGATAAGGATAAGGAGAGAAAAACAAGCCTTCATCGTTCTGAAAATCAGCGTGAGGACCTACAGATTCTATCAGAATAAGGAACAGTAATTTCAGGCCAGTGCTTCCATATGGTTCAAAAACTTGGCGTATGCGTCAACAGAAGCATTCCAAGCGCTCATAAACAGCCGCTTTTGGTAGATAATGACGATATGAAGGGTGAAAAGGATAACCTACAAAGAATTCTGGTCAAGATCCTATTGTGGTGGTGCGATACAGACGATGTGTACCAACGGAATATTATTCTCACATATTCACACAGTTCGATTCGGCATTAACAACAGAATACGATAAATCTATTTGAACATTCCATTTCATATTAAAGTTGGAATGTTATTCCCACAGTTCACTACTGCATTGTCAATACAATACTATGTTTATTTAGACATTCTATTTCATGTCATTTAATGTAAACCAAAATCACACGATCAGTGATTGGTTAATGAATATAAACTTTAGATATACAAACAGCGGTTCGATCACTTGAAAATATACCTTAGCTCCCGTGATTTGCCTTCTATTGCTACACTATGACTGGTACAACTAACATACGGGCGGAAATGAAGCTGGATTGGACATAAACTGAGATCTTTGAGTAACATCATAAGCAAGCAGGTCCCTCAAGAGGGACACTAATGGGAAGCGATGACCTGGACAAGGTGACATGGAGGACAAGATCTCGCATCTGATGACTCTTATGTGTGTATATCAGTTTACCTGTTCTTGTAGAGCCAGGTCCCTTTTTTTTATTACAGCTTGATTCCACACTGTATTTTGGTACAAGTATGGAATTTTCAGCATGGATATCGGTAGCCCAAATTTTGCAGGCCGGCCATAGATATCAGGTGTGCGTCGGCAGGGGATCGAACCTTGGACCATGTGCATGGTCGACGAGAATCCAAACCACTTTGCCACCGACGCATGAACATTGATCGTTAGATACGTATCCTGTCTAAAAGGGTTCAAAAACACTATTCCACATGATTGCGAAAGATTAGTAGTGGCTCCATGAAGAGTACGACAGTCGAATACCTGGTTGACGGTGATCATTCCATTTCAACAAACGCCTCCTTCAAAGTAACTTGCAAAGTGAAGAATAGCCTTCTAAAGGCAATACTCTTTCGACTTCTTTGCATTACTGAAGCCTTAACCATTTAATTAGAAAAACTGGAGCCATACATCCAGAGGAAAATTATTCAACTACACCTACTTTCATGGTAGCCACCTTGTTGATATCCATTGACTTGGTTTTTGTTTGTTTGTTTTTCCAACTCCCTAAAACTCTTGTATTATTTCTTCAGAACTCTTACACAATTCCATATTTTCCTTCGTTTCTGTGTGCATTCTGACTACAGCCCAGTAAATTATTCATCCCATTACGTAACTCTATTACACATATTCAACTCCTTTTATGCTCTGATTAACATTAACAACTATGTTTATGACAACTTGTCGCTTTCTTTACTACTCTCTTTCATGATTAAATGACACATAAGTGCGACTGCACAAGTGAAGAGGAAAATGAATTCGCCGAAAAGAGCCTCTTCGTTGAAATACTCGTCTTATTTTTTTCAATGCCATTTTATCACACTTTATGAAATTTTACTGAATTTGTGGGCAGGACTGGTCATGATGCAGATTTGTTACCACTACCTGAAATTACTCAGAGTGACTCCTACGTCTTTATACGTAGGACATTCTGTTCGAATTTAATGACTAGCTTTACGGATACACTGATAGGTTTACGACCGACCCTCCTCCGGTAGCCATACTGGCAGATACCTTGATGTATAATATTCAGCAGGCATAGGCACTTCTGCAGTCCATAACACATTCTACTATCGCGGATAGATTAATGAAACTTCTGTTGCTTCTAAGAAAATGGATCGTGCATTTCAGGTGTTGGACCTTCTCTACGAGATGCACCCTTACACTGAATCCATCATAAAATATGTGCATGAAAGAGTTTATTTTCCTAATATATGAAGAAGCTATGACCATAAAGTTTATCCATAGAAAAGAAACGCTTACACAGTATGATTTTAGGTACAATATCTTCTGTCCTGTAAACTATTAGCATGAATTATTGAAAAGACTCTACGACAAAGTCACGAGGCTATGTTCACCCAATAAGTTGGAAGAAGAATTAAGCTTATTTGAGAAATAACAAAGAGACAGGGGATATCCTAAGGTATTCATCCTGAGGCATGGCAAACAATAACTCAGGGGAACGAAATACGCAGCAGCATGCAACTATGGAAATGGAAAAAAGAGTTTCTATGTCTTCTATTCAGAGAGAAGTAGTATCTTAAAGTATTGACAAAATAATAAAAGAACCAATGAAAAGGGGTTTCTCATCGGCTTAGCTTGTATCGTTTTACAACATCACCTAGCCGACATCACTTCAAGCTGTATTTAGAAGTTTGCGTGCATTTACCCTAGCAAGTATATCTGAAGGAGAGAAAGAAGAGCTTCCATCCCCTCTCTGACCATGTTCCAAGAAGGAAAGCAGGTATTTGTAAAGCACAATTACAAGACATTCGGTGGGCACAGAGTTTTCTTTGTGATATCCAAATCTTTCAAAATATTTTAAATATGCAAAGGACATCAAGTCTACTATGATTTGCTGAAGCGACCGAAATCTCACATTTCCAACCAAACTTCGTTTTTGTTCGAACTTCAACACAAAGATAAATCTATGACCTAGGGTAGGGAACCTATCGCAAACGTTCCCACCACATTTGTCGTAAGATTCACTTGCGACTTATTAAATAATTATTATTCATGTTAGAAGTTCTAAGTAGTGAAGTTCTTTCACAACAGAATTTGTATGTTTATTGATTTTTTTCTCTGTATGCAGATATAGTATATGCCTTAGTATAATAAAACTTTGGCTTACATTCGCCAGTTTCGGTGACATTTACGAGACAACAAGTTATGTTTAATCGTGCTTATTATGTTTAATTACAATCGCTTATAACAATCCGTCGTCGTTACATAAATGACTCTTTGCATTATCTAACAAACCTACTTTCCTTTGCTGTTATTCTCTTTCTCTCCCTCTCTCTCTCTCTCCGACAATCAACATTGCACACACAATCGATTAGGTGGCTGTAACCAATTCAGTTTATTGGCACACTACTAATACGCATCATTTTGTACACAGACAATTGGATATAAACTCTAACCCTTTGGTATGTATGTATTTGTCTTCTAATGTCTGCGTTGAATTCTCTTTCCCCTAAACTATATCAACCAATGCACACACGCATACACACACGCAGACCCACATGCAAACATTCATATTATTTCGTAGGGGCAGATTCCTGCCTCGGAATTTAATTGTGCATTTTCGAAATCAAATCATTTGTTTTACATTGGCTAATCGAAAGTGTTCAAAATAGTGTGGGTAGAGAAAGCATTCCTTGATAAGCACGTACACACATAGTTTTTTTCGATTTCATTTTCAGATTAAGGATTAAAATACCCACAGAGAGTGTTACTACTGTGAGATAAATAACAAAACATAAAATATCATGTCAACTGTCGCTATGCCTGCAACTGCATATCAAACATCTGCTGCTAATGCTGGAAATCCTCCTCAAATTCTTGGACCATTGTCTGGTGGCGGTGAAGTACCCGAAGGAGAACCAGTTCACCTGGAGTTAAGAATTGCCCCACCAGGGATTTACAAGTACAATGGTTTAAAGATGGTGTTGCATTGAGTGCCGGTAAGTGGTTATTATACAACTTGTTTTGATAAATATTTTAAATCAGTAACTCTGTAGAATAGTGTAGTAAAATATTAACTGCAGATAGGGTTTAGATTGTCATTGTTTTACTTCTGATGTTTTCCAGTAGGGTACAGCAGGCCGAAGATGAGGCAGTAACTCATCAAAGAAGACATTGTGAAATGGTCGCGCTATGTCGTGAATTAGCAGAAGTTAGAATTCAAGAACCATTGGATTGGGTCACAGTGGCTCAAAGGTCTACGAGCTCGCCTTGTAACCAGAAGGTCCTGGGTTCGAACCCCTGTGGGTGCGTACTTCTGAAGAGTCCCAAACTAGGACGAAACAGTTGTTCAGTACTCCCAGGTTTTCCAGTTGTTCTCTAAATGATGTCAGCTCAGGATGAAATCCTCCAAGCAATTACTTCTGATGATCTCATGAAAGTATGTACGAGGTCTTACCTACTCAAATGTTACCTTATAAATCTAATCTGACCGTAATCAGTGCTAGTAAATCTTACTTACTGAAACCCCAAAACTTAAATGAAACTATTAACAACAATGCATTAATGAAAGGAACAATAAAAGGGACTGTTCACTTAGTATTCCACAGGAAGTTATTATCGTTGTGCCTTACAATATTCCTATCAGATAAAATGTGCTCCAACTAAGATACTGTAGGGTTTTTATACTTACTCTTTTGAACAAAAAGTTTTTTGATATTTACTTCTGGTCTGACATGTTGAAATGCAAAGAGAGAGAGAGAGAGAGTTGTGTCTTGAGAGGATGCTCACAGTTCGAGAAGATAATATTCGCTGATTTCTTGCATGACTTCAGGTGTCTCTATTATAGATAAGATTTTATTTTGGTAAATCACACACTGTTATACAGTAATATTAACTGATGACGTTTCGAGTACAAATTATTGCTCATAATCATATCAAGTTACTCACACAACTTTCCTTCTTCGTTTATATACAGATGTTTGAATAGAAATGATGGGCATTCAGAAATAATAGTACGAGTGTTATTGATCAATTACAATCAGATGGGAAATAAGACGAGTGTTTTTATTGTCAAAATAGATAACTTGTTAGAATGTTGTGATGTACGGGAATCGAAATAGAATTTTAAGATTACTTATTATCCTCCTCTGATTTGACTGGTGGTAACAATATCTTCCATATCTCTGGTATTTGCATTGAGTCATTTCTGTTGCATATGCTATGTTGGGTGTAGACTCGATGAACCAGGCAGGATTGAGTAATCAACCTCTCTCCACCTACCTAGAGTACTTCTTAGAATTTTAATCCTCTCCCACCCTATTGTGTGGTTGTGTGTTAATGCGTGCAGTGCAATTGCTGAGCGTTTTCCTAAATTACTTGCCTTCTCGGGATCAATCATTCTAACTTTAGCTGAATTCTTATGTTCTGATAATCTCGCTACTCCTGATCTACTAGTTTCACCCATATAGTTGACCTCACAGTCATTGCAAGGTATTTTTTAAATTATATTATTTTGTCTAATTGAGTCAACAGTGTCCTTTAGCCTACAGAGCTTGTCTCTGAGTGAGTTTGTAAGTTCAAATGCCACTCTAATTCCTGCTTTATCGAGAACACTACGTAGGGTGTCAGATGTCCCCTTCTTATATGGTATAACAGTAGATGACATATTCTCTCTTATTTATATTATCAATAATAGTTCCACAATTATTTTTATTTTGTTTTTTGCCTTTACTGATCTTCCTAATGAATTTTATTGGATAGTTATTCAACACCAACGCTTCTTCTATGTGTTTTATTTTGTCATTTAAGCCTTTTCTTGTGCTACTTAGTGCTACTGCTCGGTTTGTTAGACACTTAACTAAGCCTGCCTTTACGGACAACTACTAGAATGCGTTGGCGTTTTATAATCTCTAGTATGCAGTTTACCTCCTTCTATTCGTTTTATTTTACAGTCTAACATAGCTAATTCTCCTTGTTCATTTTCCGCTTCAAATGTGAATTTTATTCCCTCCACTAATGAGTTTATGTGTGTCAAGAAGCTAGAGATATGTTCTGTTTTTAACATTGTGAAATTGTCAGTCATCCACATATCTCCACCATATTTTCGGAGTGGGATTAAACGTATTAAGATGTCTGTCTACAGCAGTATCAACAAGTTAGTTTAGTGACACCCCACTCATCTTGCTCATAGTTTTTAGTGCCCTCCTTAGTGTAACAAAGTCTTTCTTAAGTAGTAAACAAGAACAGGTAGAAAACGGGAATTAACAAACTGTAAAATTAGAGACTGAGCGATACCAGATTGTCTTAACTTCCTTACATAGAAGTTCGGATGAAATATCTCTCTAGAAATCAGCATGCTTATGGGAAGACCAAGAAACATCACAGGAATGACATAATCTGATGATATTTAACATTCAGTTTAGTTTCAACTACTAGAATCATGGGAACGTACTAGAGTTCATGTAAGTCGCTCTTGTGTCTAACAGTGAAATTAATACCCTGACATATAGAGGTATTTATCTGAATTAATACCAAATTTAGTGCGTCGGTAGTATAGTGGTTAGGACGCTCGCCGACCATGCATATGGTCCGGGGTTCGATCCCCGGCCGGCGCACTCCTTTACCTCACTGAGCCAGAAATAATGCTGGTAAAGAGGAAAGGTTGGGCATGAGGCTAGCAACCCCATTCTGTAAAAATTAAACACTGCTACAGAAACTTCAAGCCACTAGCTTAGAGCCCTATGTTCCACTGGGAACATGAAGAAAAATTATTAATTAATACCATTTGACAAGGACTACTGACTAATTTCTGATAAAAAGCATAAAATACTATTTATAAGGATAAATTTGTATCAGTGTCAAACACAGAAAAGTGATTCCTATCTTTTTGCATTTTCATTCTATTGGCTTTTCCATTGACACAGAAATTATTAATTGTTTTCTGGTATATTACTTATGACTGCTTATAAGTAGCACATGTTCTAAAACTAATTACTGTTGAGTAAATAAATATTAGAAGCTTACTTCTGCTTACCACTGCCTGTTACGCAGAATGGAATTAGTATCTCCGCAACAGGAACGTGTTCTTCTTTTGAATTTCAAGTTTCCTGTTTCCTTAAGATCAATGTCATAGTTTTTTCTTAGGATCAGAACCATATATCAACAAATTAAGGTCGTAACACTAGAGAGAATTTAGATAACAGGCTAACTCTAATCTGTAAGTGGTACGACATAAAGGACTTTTCATAGCTTATATGATAGTACTGAAAATCCGCGATCCTGGATAATTCTGTCATTAGAACTACAAGATCATACTGAATGGCTTGGTAAAAACTCAGCGATGATATGAGCGTAAAGATTAACTTCAATCTGATTGTATTTAGCTTTGAATATTTAAAGTATATCGCCTGAAATAAGCTTTGATCACAACTCAACTGATCTGTTAGTTAGCCTTATTTCTGCTGATCTAGCAAAACCAATTTTAAAAGCAGAAATGAGGGAAGCCACTACATAAAATATGTCTAATGGGGGAGAAATGGATTCTAATATTTCTGTCGCCGGTAAAAGCAGTTTACAGTTTGTCGAATCATATCGGTTAACATTTTAGAAACACTATTGCCTACACTTTCCGGGTATTCCGATGAATTTCAGCCGATACATTTCGAACCCTAGCAAGATATAGATGTCAACTTTCAACATACTACTGACAAAAGGAAGTACAGAAAAAAAACGAACTGAAGAATTCATAAGGCATGGAATGCATGAATTTAAATTAGGTTTATAACAGCTTGATAATACAATCTCGTCTTCTAACAACACTTGATCAGTGGTCTGTTACACTTCAGTCTCCATATTTTATCATATCAAATGAAAATCTAATCATGGAACTAATTGTTCAGTTTTACAGGGAATGTCTCATGAAACCAAAACTCCCATTTTGTCGGTTTATTTATGTGGTGTGTGGTTCCGGAAAATAAACATCATATAACCGACTATTCTGGGGTTGGAATTATCATACTTGTTATTCACTTAAGGAAATATAAGAATAAATTAAGTATATACTTTTTCAGCTGTCACATTATTATTATTCCCCTCGATTCCGAGTGGAACACATTCTCCATTCTCTGCATTCCGCCTTAGTTGTCTCCACGATTGCCTATAAGCTTTCATTTCTTCTTCAAGTTGTCTCCACCATATCGCCCTCGGAGCCATGTTTAAGTCATCGTTTCTCATTCGGGTTGAACTGGAAAGTTCAGAATATAATGTCAGTCGATGGTCTTCTTGGCGCATATGTAATTCATCTTCATTTCCTTGTGCAGATTGGTTGGTCAACATGTTCTACATTGGTTCCTTGCGAGACTTCCCAGTGGCTTATCTTTTCTGGCCGACCATCTGAACTTTAGTATAGAGTGAAGGCAGTTGTTGATAAAATTCTGTCACCTGTTTGCAGCCTTATACATAAGTTAGTGGAAATTCGCCAGGTGCCCAAAAAAAGAATTTATCAGATTTCGAGTTATCAGACGACTGACAGAAGTCAACGGAGTTATTTATAACAAAGTGCAGCCGTTTTGTTTGACATGAATAATACTTGTAAGATTTTATAACGCAGCTGAATTTTTTCTTCCTTTGAACTGAGAAACCTTCATGTCGCAGGTAAACTATGTACAATCGTTTATTGATGATTTTATATCAAATAATCGACAATAATGTCATAATTTGATGGGTGGTGACCAGTAGTGGGATCCAAGATGTACGTTCCGTCCTATTTGGGACTGCATTCCTTAGTGAGTGATGGTGTTCCCCCTGAGACTAGAACCCACTGCCAATCGTTTCAAGTGCCAAAGCATCATCCACTCGACGACTTCGGCTACGATAGCCACCTTTTAATTCAATCATGATTTTTCCGTTAATTGAATGAACCGAAATGTTTGACCTCTGTTGAAATAACGAAATGCACATCCTGGATTCTACCGCTGGTCACCACAAATCAAATTACTTCAAGTTAATCTTCAGACATCATCGAAGCATCTGTACTAAAAGCCGACATGTCAAAATTAAAATCTTATTCACGGCCAAATAACCTGTAAATCATGATTATTCACTGAATTACTCTTCGTTACTTTAAGCCATTACCCTACGTATCTACTTCAACGATAGCGATTTCCTTTGGTTCCGAGTGGAATATAAACCTTAAACGACAAATTCCCAGTGCATTCTGTTCTCTGCTGTATATTTTAGCTGTCTGCCCAAGATATATGTAGTTCTAATTTACACTGACAGATATCCGAGTTATGATGACGGTTAGAGAAAATGTAAGACTGCACCTCTTGGATCATGATAATACTGAATAAATTGTTCACCTCATTTTGATTCAATTTTCTATAATTGAGCCATCACATAGCTGCTTTATTTAGCTCTGAATTATATGCCCATGTATTTTATATTGTCTTTTTCTGTTTGTTAAGGTTCTCGATTTAATACAATGTGTGAACGTGGTCTAGCTTCACTTGATGTTATCTATACAATTCCAGAAGATAGTGGTACTTACTTTTGTGTTATTTCAAATCCATATGGGAATGCACAAAGTCAACCAGTTCCTGTGAAGTAAGTTTAGTATAAACAAAAATGTGCGCAAAAATTCTCTTTATACTTTTTTTTTATACTGAAGTCTTGTAATATTAGATAAATTACCTAACTGTATTACAAGTATTACTAGCAAAGTAGTGTGTCAGCAGTAATAAAATGTTTCCTGCTTGCTGCCAAATAGTAATTAAGTTACACTGATTGACCTTATGACAGTAAAACAGCTGTTCTTTATAAAAATCTTGAGTGCTTATCGTGCAGACATATGAACTCAGATTTAAGATGAAATACAGTGGTTATATGTGAAGTGTTTCACTTAATATTAGAAACCACGATGAATACAGTTCCTTGTCCTCACTTCTGACCCCACTGCTCCTTACTTCCTACTGCAGTCGCGAGCAGCTTCATCCTGTAGCTAGTCACTAGTGAGCATCAGATTAATTTTCAGGAGTTAATTTGTAGGGATGTGATTTGTTTCGAGTTTGGCCGGTGATTGATATCATCCATAACACTGGCTAGTGGTCGCTGTAAATCCCAAATTGGTAAAAGTTAGAATTCATGAACTGGCGAATGAGTCAAGTCCCAGTAGCTGGATGGCCAAGGTGCTTAACATGCTGCTGGAGGGTCCACTGGGACTCGACTCAACGATCCATGAAATCCAACTTCTGTCAATTGGTAATTTTAAATGCGACCACCAGCCAATTCTATTGGTGAGTATTTCTTCCTCACTCTCAACCGGCTATAACCCACTGGTCACGGCTGTTTACTAGACCTCTGAACAACTTCGTCCTGTAGCCAATCGATAGTGACTAATGATGAGTCACAAACTGCAGCGAAACAACTATCCAGTTTTCTCTCTGTTTTTTAATTGTTATCTATTTGCAAACTCAAAAAGTGCATCAACTTGGGGTAAAGTAAAAATAGAAAATAACTAGCTTCATGTTAGAATTAACAAAATAATGATAAGAAAAATACTGGAAATAGGTGTTGTTGATTAAAAAAAAAGTAACTTTTGCATCAAATTCTCACTACTGGATAATGTGGACGGTATGGAACTACTCAAATTGGTCTGTTAAGTAGTATATAGTATCACATGAGGTTATGGTTACTTTCTTAATTATCATTTATGGTACCAAGCAAATGACATATTGTGCTCTGAATAACTTCCGCCTCCAAATGAGACTGTAGTGAAATCTCAGCTCCTTAAACTGTGTAAACTGCTAGTCTGATTCGTCGAATTGCCAGTTCACCCAAATGTTTAACTAGTTAGTATTGAAGTGATTTGAACTGATTCGGTCCTCTGAACTGAAGCATACTGGGTACACTGTAGATCACTTCAACAATCTGGCTAGCAAACATTACTGATTGATGTGAGTGGTGTGCAGATTACTCAAGTCAATCAATCAATACAACGTACAACTAATTTTAGTTATCTACTTACAAGGTTCATTTCATGTTCTCTTGTCAGCGAAAGATGAATGGTTGTATAGAATGGTATGGTCAAACTATTATTTTGTAAAGAATGCGAAAAAGTGAAAATCAACTGAAACCGTATTCTGTGTCTTTGAGATGTAATTGAGACTCTTGTTCCTTATGTTTTAACACACAGTGACTACAATATGTGCAGAGTGAATTCACTAATTCATCACATACATGGATAGTAGCAACATTAAATAATGCGCTTTCTTATTTAACTTTCCTATCTGATTGATTATGTGATTCTTACGACTGTTTAAAAAAGAATAAGAAGTAAAATCGACTATAAAATAGTAACAATAGAAAATGCTATTGAATTTCGTATAGATTCTAAAGGTTGCCTTATATATATGTGTAACAGGTTTCTATAGAAAATGGTTGGAGGATTCTATCATAAGCTGACATCTGTTAAAGTGCTGTTGGAAAACCCGGAGTACTAGACAGCTGTTTCGTCTTGCTTTGGGACTCTTCATCAGTACGTACTAGCCGGGGTGTGTAACTCCTAGGTTTTCCAACGGTTTTCTGAGTGATGTCATCTCATCATGGAATCCGCCAACCAATCAAACAAAATCCCTACAGAATCGATACTAGGAAATTTTACAGAAAATATTAGATTTCAGTGTTTTGGCGAGTCTTTTAGATAGACTTATGATCAGAGCATCAAAAATCAATGAGAAACAGAACAAGTAGTTCATAAATTCATTGAAGATGACTATTAGAAATTTCGAAAGACTGGTCAATGAACAAAGAATTTTCTTCTCAATAAATTCGTCATCAGGTTCTCAATTGTTGCTCACAACATCAGTATGTTTTAAATTACACTAAATCACTAGTACCGACAGATCATATTTCAAAGGCATCATTAAGAGAAAAATATGCAATAATACGACACTAAACTGAATATCAGGTGAATTAGAGAAAGTAATACAGGATTAATGAATTTATAGGTTTCATTGAATCACGGTCATGAGAGAAACAAATAAAAAGCTTAACCTTGAGAAAATCACCAGCCAATCACAGCAGACTTAACGTGTTCAAACAGGATTCGCAGATGTATAGCTTAACTTTCTGAGAAACGGTCACAAGCAGTGCAGAATAACCTTCAGCGAGGAAACAACCAATCAGAAGAGGTTACTTCTCCATTGACAATAATGTACATTAAAATCTATAAATACCTCTCGATTTTCTCAAAGAAGGGTCTTTTGCCCAGCCCTTGTCTTCTGTTGTTACACCGTAACAGATCAGGGTAGTAATACTGGCTGTCTGGATCCACTTCTTTTCCACTCAGAGCTCCAGTTGATTTGAGAGAATCGCAACATCCTCTAACATTTCGAGGGTTCCGTATCTAGTAACCTTTGATAGTTTATTCGATACCGGATAGGTGATACAGAGAGACCCTTCAGTGTTAGCTTTGTGGGGTGTTTGCATGAAGTCATCTGATATCGAACTGTTGATGGTTTTAACAACACCTTTACTTAGCCATACCCACAGGTGTTCCCGAGTACGAAACATTAGGTTTGTAGAGTAACTGCTAATATAACAGTCATCACAGGAGCAGTTGGATTTATTGATAAAATTAAAGGTGGCTAGCTTGGGTACTTTATCTTTCAGTTTTGAAATTTCAACTGGTTGTGCGGAAAATATAAGCTACAAGTTACAGGCACGAAATGTTATTTGAATCGATCTTCTCAACTTGTTGGTTATTATTGTACTCAGTATATCACCTTTTAGTTGTAGTCAGATATACAGAGGCTTCTTGTTAACAGAAAGAGAGGAATTCTTTTCTACTTTATTAGCCATGTGTTTAGTGATAAACCTTTCAGGGTAGCTGTTTTTAGTTAACGTGTTGTGAATTTACAGACACACTTCAACCGACACCACTAATGATTCAGTACACTACTCCTACACTACTCTCCTGTAGCCAAACAGTATGTAGCGAATTTTTTTCACACAGGTAGAAAATTACACCTTCTTTTTTGAAGCGTTTATTATTGAGTAATTAAGCTAACTGAGTTAAACAATTTACAGGAAATTTTTGTCACAGAACTCCTTATGCAATTTAGATTATCGAATTTTATAAGGATTTGGAATTGCTTCAATGCAGATCTCATCATGAACTAATACCAGTTAGAGATCACTAAAAATTAAGAAATGCTGGACAACTGATTCGTCCTATACTGGGACTCTCCAACACTTCACACCTAAGACAGCATGTGGGATCTAACTCGACACCTTCAGGTTTGATTCATAGCCTTTAAAGTCAGAAATTATTTCCCTTATCAAGAAATTAAGTTTAATTAACCATAGAATATTCTCATTTTCACATTTGTTTACATGATGTCTTTAAGGAATATGCTAAGTAATTATGGCACAAACATTTCCCTGCATTCCTCTCCTAAAGAATACACAAATACTACTACATTGTATACATACACATAAATAGTCTCGTTAAGGTCATTCAAAGTGCACATTTTTATTAAAATGTCTCGTCACAAAATTATTGATCTTCATCTTATATATGGATACACATCTTGCTAAAGAGATGAATGATGTTTGGCGTTTAACAATGTGTGCATCTTTTCTACAATGCAAAACAAATTCCACCGGATACATGTAACATGAATCATCATTGAATTTAAGCATGGATGACCTAGAAACACATTTTTGGTTTTAGGTCAACAAAGGAATGTTTATTGGCCATAGTATCTGTTTTGTTCAGTATTTTCATTATAATAATGAGGAGGAGAATAATGTTCTTATGGGTAAAAGCTCAAGACGTACTTTATTTTAACGTTATTTTCTCCGGTATATGATTTAGTGTAGAACAGGAAAAAGAAATCGATTCGTTGTGTGAGATAGTAAAAGGGATACTAAGATTGATCGATACTGACCCTTAAATACATAACTTATTTAATCTACACTAGCCTAGGAGGTTTATATTCATAAGAGGCAAGGAGTGATGAATATTAGTTTCATCCTTATCTTGAACTCTTCAGTAGTAAGTACACATGACCCCAATAGGGATTGAAGCCACAGTCTTCTTATTGTGTAGTGACCTTATCGATCATTCATCCCGTTAGAATAGCATCTAGTGACAGAAGAGTTCTAAGTTCCTTCAGTTTGCGATATATTTAACGTGTCTTTCAGTCAATATCATCTTGGCGTATCTATCCCCATATCCTACTAATCAAAATGACTAAGAAATACCTAAACATATGACGACCTGAAGTAGATCAATTTAGATGAATGCAGATTATGTATCTCTCTCGGCATCTGAGTTAGTAACACTGGACAAAACACCAGTATTTTTAGGCTTCTTCATTAAGTTCTTATTTTAATAGAAATAGTTCAACAGATTCAATGTAATCAAGGATATTCAGTCTAAGAATTAATATACACTACAATACAGTTTGAAAATACGTAGGACTTCTGGTCCAAATCAGCTTAGTTTTTCCCATTGACTAAATCACAGCAAAATGTCTGTTTCTGTTAAAATGTGGGCTCCTAATATAGCTGCTTTTTAATGACACGCAAGGACTACCATG